CTTGTTCTGATATCAATAAATATACTAATCAAATAGGTTTCTCACTGTTCCCTACAGGCTACTCTAGCCTGCAATATACATTGTTACATTTCCCAATCTTTCTGCATTATGTTTATCAAATAATGTTGGCTGTTTGTTTTCTCATTGTTAGTCTCAGTTTCATTGTAGCTCTCCTATTTTCCTTAAAACTTCCTTGTCTCGTACATTCTCTATCCATCTGGTAGTAGTTCCACATCTATGTTGTTTCATATTTCTTCTTCATTTGTAAAGAAATTCTCCAACATTCACTGCCATAACAGATTATATATTACACATCAGTCCAGCACTCTTTTATTTGTTTCTAAAGACATTTTCTGTTTCTATAATGCTTTTCCCAGTTTCTGAAAGTTGTCTTTCATTATTCAATGTGCCTTTGGATTTTGATGTCCCACTTTCCATCATCTGTTATAAAACTCCAAAGATAGATAAATTACTGTACTCTCTTGATTTCAAAGTCCCTGATGCCTAATTTACACCTTGTCTTTTGATAAATATCTGGCATTCTAACTTCTGACAGTTAATGGTCTGACGAAAGACATGACTTACCTCAGAACTCAAAGCGAGCGTGAACATGTCTTGCTTGCAAAGTGATGACAAAAAGAAATATGGCCACTATTGAAGACACAGTTTATGCTTGCTGATCTCATCCAAAACAAGACAATATTTGCACACATGCAAATTTTGGCCATATTGGAATAGCATAAAAAGCAGGGTGCCAGCAGCACCAGCAAGAGGGGAGTCATTCAGCTGACTGCGTGCATTAGAGCTGGACGTACAAATTGACAGACAAAGAGGAAGTCAAAATAGGCGTGGAAGTCAAAGAATAGCTGGCCTGCCAGTGAGCACCGCACTGCACTTTTTGACTCCCCTCTCATCACCATCTTTTTTCTACAATAGTTAGTTATTTTTTACTGATTTCTGAGACTGCTTCATCTTATTTGCTAATTCTTTCAAATTACTTTCTGAATCTACTATTAACACAGTGTGGTTAGTATAGCATAGATTATTCAGGCGATGTCTTATTATAATAAATTATATACAGGTGAAATGAATCTAGTGAGGAAACATGTCCTTGTCATAATACTCTTTATATTTTTCTATCTTCACTAAACTCATTCTCAATCCACATATAAGCTGTTTCAATCCAGAAGAAATTGATTGATTGATTGAGATTTACAGCATGTCAACCTCAATTGGTTATTTAATGCTGACAAAATTTTTATTGCTGGTAATATTTTTCTTCAAAAAACTATTTCTAGCAATATCCTTCCTTTTAAAATCGATTGCAAGTAATATCTTATATTTCATTGCTGGTAACGTTTTTTTCAAGAAAGTATTGCTGGTAACATTTCGACAAAAACATATTGCTGGTAATATTCCTTTATGAAACTATATTGCTGATAATATGATTTTTCCATCAAAATTGAAGGAGAAATTATATTATTATCTCTGATAACAATTTTTCCTTCAAAACTACATTGCTGGTAATAACTCTTTCTTCAAAAATGTACTGCTGGTAATAACTTTCCATCAAAAATCCCTTGCTAGCAATAATTTTTCCTTCGTAAAAGTATTGCTGGTAAACAAAAATGTAGTGTTGGAAATATTTTTTTCTTTTTTTTTTTTTTCAAAAAAGGTTTCAAAAGCAAATAAGCAGATTTAGTAAACTATTTTTTTAAATTTTCCTGCAGAACCCAATTTCTTTAATGAAATTTATAATGTTATTTGTATTGATATTTTCATGAATTTTTACTTGTCCAATTTATGTTTAGTGGGTGAAGTTTCCATACTTTCTATGCTCTCAAACCTATTAGCATTTTGTTTCTTGTTATGTTTTGTTCTTTGAACTTTTATTTTTGCTTGTTTGTTTGATTTTGTTCCTTTAGTTTTTCCATTAGGTTCTTTGAATGATCTTTGTATAGATGATGACCATTCCCTTGTTTGTGATGGGCTAAAGTTTTGTTCCTCTATCTCCATTTCTCTTGATTATTCACTAAAAGTTGTATTATTTTTTCATGTACATTTTGATTCTCTTGAGAATGTTTAGAGGTTTCTATTTCTTGGATTTTTGTATTTTGGTTTGGAATTTTCAGATTTAATAGTTTTGTAAATATAGAGTCTTTTTTGTTTGAGGTTGACGGACAGGATTGTTTTTGTCTATGGGAGTTTGATTTATGAGTGATATACTACATTTTAGTAGTTCTATTAAACTTTTTAATTCATTCTTGGCTTCTTAATGCATTGTTTTCTTGAATGTCTTTTTGTTGATTTGATATTTTAGTGATATTTGCATATGATGCTTGAAGTGAATTAGATTCAGCCTGTTTCCTGGCTTCTTGGAATGACATATTTTGTGTGCATTTTCTTCTAATTATTTCCTTTTCAGTCTGCTGGATGTTTTTCTTTACAGTTTGGACATAAAGGAGCCCTTTCACAAGGTGACTCATCATGCTCAGTCTCCAGTTCCCCACATCTTTGACAGCTTTATGTTCTCGTACAAACATTTTAAAGATGACTAAATTTTTTACATTTATGACATCTACAGAGATTAGGAATGTATGGCTCTACCTTGGCTATTGTGTAACCTATCTTTATTTCTTTTCGTAGAGTTGGTTTGTCAAATGTCAAAATGTATGTGTTGGTGTTTATTACTGTGTCATTTCTTTTTACTTGCATTCTTTTAACATCTGTTATTCCTTGCTTTTTTTTAGAGTGTCATCATTTTCAATTTCTCCTGATCAGCAAAGTGTCAGTTCTGGGCATTTTAATACTTCTTTTGATGAATTAAGAAATTGATGGGGTAGGTCTTGACTTTATTGTTGTCAATTTGCTTGATTTTTAGTAATTTCTCAGCAGTTTTTTTTTGGATATCACTTGAATTAATAGAGTATTATTTTCTTTATTTTTTTTTAACAGATCGTGGTTTGATCATATCTGAAATAACTTTTTGCAACACAAAAGGAAACACTTTTGATATATCACCCTCTACTGATTCTACAATAATGAAAGTTGGAAATTGATTTTTTTTCTATTTCATTTTCACTTTCAGAAGTCTCATATTGTCTCTTGGTTCACTTATAAGAGATAGCCATATAATTTTAATTTTTGTATTCACTGTCTGTGCTCCTAATCCACCTTGAAGTTCCTTTTTAAGGGATGCTATCAGGAGGGACTAATTCCATTCGCCCAGGGCTACACAGACAGTATAGTTGTGATGAGAGTGGATACAAGCACTCACTCTCACCCACCATATCTACCCAAGTATAATATGATGTAAGGTTTCACAGCCCTGTCTGACCCATTATTTATCATCCCAATTAGTTCTTGCCACTATGTGACTAGCCGATTGGAATGGATTGGGCTATTCCATCCACCTGTCTACCCCAGGTAGGGACCGAAGTGACGTGTTGTGGAAACTCCTGGTCATTTTATACGAGATCAGGAGTCACTCAGTCACCAGGAGTCTGTCCCCAGCCATTAAAAGTTGCCACCCATGACAAACAGGTGGCCCCATTGAGGAGAAATTTTAGTTTTTTGAAACTGGGTTTTTTGAATGTGCACTTTGTATACTGCAATTTGTGTTGCTGGTATTATTATTACAAAAAACCCATTCTTAGAGTTTCTTAGTATTCAGACTCCCATTAGAGGGAGGGGAAAACTATTTACCCATCTCTGGGACCCTAACGGGTGCTACCACCCTGAGTCAGGGTAGACCCGCGAACAACAGCAACTAAGAGGTGGTTCCATGCTTCTCAAAACCTACTGATCAGATGCCTTGCTGCTGGATGCAGTTTATCATCATATCCAGGTTGTCAATCCAGAAGAGGTTACAAATTACTTGATCATGTGTCTGTCACTTTCCCACTGCTGTCTTTTTTATAAATACTTTCATGGTAGCTGTTGTGATGAGCTTTCCTCTTCAGTACCTAGACTTTATGAATTTAAGTGCAGTACTAGATTGTCAGCTAGGTCTCATCATTTTACAGTTAAAATGGCTACATGTAACTATAAGTTTTATACTAACAATTTCTTCTCTCACACTTCTCACTTGTGAAACTTTCTTCTGGCTTCTTGTTTTCCTGGACAGAAATTAAGACAGAAGATAACAACTGAGATTGCAGTTAAATTTTTGAAGATCAAGCCTGACTGGTAAGCAAGAAGCATGAAGAGAGTTGCACAAGTGAGAAGGGCAAGAAAAGAAACTGTTAGCATAAAACTTAGTTACATCTATCAATTTCAACTGTAAAATGAGACCTTGCTTCTAATCTAATACTACACATAAATTCATCGTGTCTAGGTATTATAGAGGAGAGTTCATCAGAACAATTACCATGAAAGTATTCATATACAGGAAGCTTACTCTTGCTTTTGTCATAAAAAAAAATTTACTTACTTGAATCAACCTTCTGCACATTTTTCTATATTTGACCTACATCACATTTGGCAAAAAACGTACAAAGGACTCAGATTTATAATAAATTTTAGTAAATTATCATCAATAGTAAATATTGTATTGATTAATGGCATAATTAGAAAACACTATTAACTCCCTCATTTTTTCATTGTTAGGGTTTTTTCTACACAGATTCTGTTATAATTTTTTTTTTAATTTCTAAAATATACTATTCAGCTAATGGCCACATTGGAGGCATGATTGAGTAATGAATAGTGGTTTGGATTACGGAATCAGAGAGCCCAGTTCAAATTCCAGTCAATTCCATTACATTTACTTACATGTTAATACCTTTGGGAAAAGTATGAATCCTTTTCTTCTCCCCCCAGCTATGGGTAAATAGCAGGACAAACCAGGTTCTATAGCCTTGGATGGCAACTGGTCTACTGTAGAAAGAAATGGCATCCTAATGCAGGAAAAAATATCAGTCTTGTCAGTCATGTATTGAAAGATACATGATCGCCTAAGTGTAATACGCATGGCACATAACTGACTGAATGGCCACATTACATTGAAACACCGGTTCTCATACAATCGCCGAAGTTAAGCAAACTTGAGCATAGTCAGTACTTAGATGGGTGACTGCTTTGATATTCCAGATACTGTAAGTGTAAATATGCAAGTGTTTAATGAGTAATGGTTTGAAATTGTTAATCAGAGAACTGAGTTCCAATTCCTGTTGAGTTCATTATATTCATTTATGAGCAAATACCCTTGGCAAAGGTATGAAGTCATCTCTGATCCCCTTAGCTATGTGAGTAAGTTATGGATTAGTAGGATTTGTATTAATAAACCATTATTATCTTCAAAATAAAAATTATTTCAATTTAAAAATATTTTCTAGCTTTAAATAACTTGCAAAGAATTGATAAACTGTAGAAAACAAGTCAATCATTCAATCAAAATATATGTTCTCTGTTTTATTCTTTGTCTGATCTATAAAAACCTATAAAAATCTATTTTCCTTCTAAGGACAAGACTTCTTTTCTTTTTACATTTCATTTATATTTTAAAAGGATATCTGTGAGATTTCCATAAATACTTCCATTGTAATTGTTCTGATAAACTTTCCTCTTTGGTAACTAGACTTTATGAATGTAGCCATAAATTCTATGCTAAGAGTTTATTTTATCACATTTCTTACTTGCAGAACTTTCTTCCATCACCATTCTTAATTATTATTCTTTTATTGTTCTCTCTCCTTAATGTCTTTTTCTGATATTATCTAACACTCAGTAACTCTTTTGTATCTTAATAGCTTTACTGCCTTTCTTAGAGTGAAATGATTAGAAAATATATCTTTAAACAGAGTAAGAATAACTTCAAATATATTAATAGACAATATAAGATAGGTTTTTAACATGTATATCTATGTTTTCACTAAAAAGATAAAATATTTTACTCAAAATAACAATTAATAGAACAGAGATACTGATGCCTTATATGGTCAGGAGCCCCTTCTGTTTATCTCAAGATCATCGACAAATCCAGAGACAGATAAGCAATGTAATTGGCCCTGATTTGACATCTCGTCTATAGTAACTTTTTCACAGATATGCTGTCGCTTCCCTCTATCTTTTTTCACAAATACTTTCATGGTAACTGCTGCTTTCAGTGGTTCCCAAACTGCATGAATTTAAGCATGCTACTAGGTTGGCATCTCAGTCCCACCCTTTCACTGTCAAAACTGTTAATTGTAGTCATTTCTTCTTCTCCAATAGCTTCATGTCTCACACTTCCCATCTATGGAACACCTTTCATCTTACTTGCTTCCCTGATAGCTATAATCTCCAAATATTCAAATGCAATGTCAATCAAGATCTCCAGATGCTTTGATCTATTCCTTCTCTTCATCCATTCTTCTATCACACCTCTTTACTCTTACTCCCACTCTCTGTAATCCCCTTGCGTGCTAGTGGTACTCCCACCTTGCTTGGGGGAAATGCATAAAAAAAAAAAGAGAGAGAGATAACAAAATATTGTAAATTAAAAAAAAAAATTCTCCTGTTTTTCTTCCTCTTCTTTTTATATCATCTTTTCTGTTTTCCTCTCATTATTTCTATTTTCTTCCTTTATTTCTTTTCTCCATTTCCACTGATTACTGTTTTCTTTTCTTTCTTCAATCTCAAGGTATTAATCATTTGATTCTTCTTTGATCTTTACTCACTGCTGTATTCCTGGATTTTTCATTCTTTCTTTTCTCTTTCATCTTCACTTTCTTGTATCAGCAGATTTCATTCATACCGTCCCTGTAACCAGCTTTCCAAACCTTATCAATAAAAGAAAGTCACAACATTTTACCATCTGAATCTTTCAAACAGTACACTCAAGCATTCCCAAACAATAGAATTCAGATCTAACCTTCCCTATTGTTGGGTTGAACTGCAACAGACAAAATGCCCGCTGTACTTGGCCCCTGAATTTATTCTATTCAGATCGTCCGGATTGTATAAGGGATCTGAAAGACGGTTAACTTCATTCCTGCCAATGGTGATGAGAATCAGCTCATTGAAAATTGCCTCTAAGTGGAGACATTGATATTTCCTGCTTTCTGCTTTGCTCCATTTCTAAGTGATTCTCTAATGACAATCACAAACATGCTTTGTAACCCATAGCAATTCCTGTTTAAGATTCTATACATTCGCCAACAATAGTCACTCATTTTAGACCTTTCAAACTTAGCAAATGATACACATACATATTTGCAGATAGAGGCATAGATGCATTGTATATTTTGGAGCTCCATTCACACACAGCAGTTCATTTATATAAAAGCATTATGTATAAATCTAAGAATGTATCATGAAAAAAATGAAAGAACATGCAAAATTATGCTTATTTTTAAATGAATATATACACACAGGTAAGCATGCTTATTAGTTTATAATATCGTCTTTTTCTATATGCCTCATGACGTTGGTGATCATGACTCTCCACAATTTCCTGTCTTTTTTAGCTCTTACGAAATTTTGTCTTTTTGTTATCTTTCCAAAACATTGTTCCACCATCTATTTACTTAAGCTCACTAGGTGGATTATGCATTGTTTTCCTCTATCTCACTTGACTTCAATCTGTCCTGTTGGCATCAAAGTCCTATTTCCTTATTGTGTGCCTCTTTCTAATGTTAAATCCATTTTGTTTCTCACATGTTTCATCCATGTTATTCTCAGCATCCTTCTGTAGAGCATTTCTGTTGCTTCAAGACTCTCCATTTGAGGAGACTGTCCAACATTTACATATAGGAGGACTGATAAATTCCCCACTTGCTGTTAACTTGGGGAAAGTCAAAGAAAGAAGTTACTTTGAATTAAAACAATAATAATATTAATAATATAAGGAGTAATATTATTGTTTTATATTTTACTTCATTTAAACTAATTTCCATATTTTTAAAACAACATTTCACTGTTCTCTTACTTTTTTCAAGTGCATTGTATTTTGGAATGTTAACATACACAATACGATTTATACATGCCAAAACAAAGATTAAAAAATATATTAGTCTGGATAAGCCCCTGTCTTCATTTATGTGCCCTGTCCCTTCAAGATCTGGGTGATAATGGATCACTGCAGATTTCCATCTTTTGTGGCTCTAAGCAAAGTCTGACTCTTCACAATCGCTTTTTCTCTTGCTCTGTCTTCCATTTATACAATTTTGTCAAATTGATTTTTCCTCTGCTTCTCTTCCCATCAGTATATCTTGTGAGTGTCAAATTCTCCAAGCTCTCTTTTTTCAAGATGGTAGTAGTAATATTAGCCATTTCCATATAAGGAAACATTCACCATTCATTGGTTGAGCAGCCAGTTCTACTTTTGGGTAAAATTTACAAAATCTTCCTTAAAATAATTTTTTTTAGGAAAATAGTTTCTCTAATCCAGTAAGTGTTATCACTCTTTTCAGTACTGAAGGGGGTTTCCTTCTTAACCTTTTATCTGAAGTAGTGTGGAAAATCAACATTTTGATTATGTTGTTATTTTCTGTTTTACTTACATGTGGTATCTATTTTAGGTATTGCTGCTGTTGAATGCCCTCAAGTGATGAGGTTTCAGTTATTTCATACAGTTCCTTGTGATTCAGTAGCATCAGCCATAAATTTCAAAGAAGTATGCTCTCCATGAAGACCGACATGCTTTACTCACTTAAGGCCGTTTTTAATTATTCTTCTGAGAAAATGATTGTATTCAACTGATAGTTTAGATATTTTTTAACAAGTTTGTCACCCTTCAGCTCTTCTCTCTTTTATTCTTTTTTCTTTCCATTTTCCTTGTGACTTCCATACTACAAATATCCCACTAAAAGAACCATGTAAGTAAAATGAATTAGTTAAGTAATAGTAGATTCTAGTAATTAGATTATGCTTTACAATTTCCCTGATAAAGAAAATGAGAGAATGAACCATTCATATATTGATATAATTATTAAAACAAGTTAGAGTTAGCAAATATATTTGTTGTAATCTAGGGAAGGCTACTGAATAGAATAATCACACAAAGGTTGGTAATAAATGATGATACTTAGGACAAGGACAGCACATTGTGCTACAATTAATTTTGCAATGATCAGCGATATTATATATGAGCACTGTCTGAGGTTAACAATGGAGAATTACAAGATCAGTGCACAGATAATGCATTTTCTTCTTAATGAATTCTTTTCTAATCAGACTGACAGTTATTACATTGAAACCATCGTCAAATATGCTACAGTGCATATAAAGTGTTGTCATGCAATACATCCTTGTGGCGATCATATAGTTATTTTTATAAAATTTCTAAATGTTTTGCCAATTTAATTATAAGCAACTAAGAAGTCTCAGAGAGTTAGCAATATATAGATGATTATTTGCTCTAACATAGGGAAGGTTATGGAATAGAATAATCAAACGAAGGTTGGTAATGAAGAATAATACTTAGGACAAGAACAACACATATAAGATTCACCAGTGGCATGTAGAAGAAGTACTCAACTGCTAGAAGTGAGTCAAGTGAATTCCACAATGAATCTTCAAATGCAGACTTCAAACCACCACATACAGTATTCACTTCTGTATTTATGGGAATGGGGGCATAACCATTAACGTCCATAGATATGCTACAACAATATTATAAAAATTTAGGTTTTCATTGGATGTTAAAACAAATCTTACATTTAATTAACAAAAGCTTCTCCATATTTTACTTTTATTACAGGAAAGAAATTGAGAATACTTTTCTCCAATACAGTTTAAAATTAATTTTCATAATGAAAATGAGGTTTTGTTTGGTAAAGCTAACTTTGAACAGCACACAGTTTGGTAGAGATGAGAGTAACAAAAAAGGAATAATTATAAAATTTCTTCCCCTTCTAAGCTCAAATGAATGATTTGTATAATTGCATTTCCTGCTCAGATAATTGGGGTCATCAAAATGAAAAAAATAAATAAGCAAAGATAATATTTTTATGATTGGCATTTTCTGGATTCTACAAATAGAATTAAAAACACCTTTTCTGAAGAGAGACATTTTTACAGGTGCAACATCATATTTTTTTAAATTTTCAGTGATTAATTGTAGCTGTCTCAGGTCTGGTTCAAGGGGGATTAACAACTAGTAGGGATTCCATAATT